AAAGTTAGTGGAATTAATTCCTAAAAGTAATAAAGCTAGTTTAAGCGAAGGAAATAATTAACTAGTTAGCAAGGTTTTAAAAAGTCTCGACACCTGAATTTTAGCATTATCGTACTATACTCAATTTCTATAGCTTGATACTAGGACAAAATATTTCAACAAAGCTTGGTTTAAAAGTACCCGAATTCAAAGAACCAAAACGGACTTCACGATTCCTATTCATTTGCACATTATATTCCAATTTGCCAATATAGCAAAAATCACGATTCCAACATCAATTTCACTAGGGCTTCGTCAATCATTAGCCCTAGGTCGCAGCAAGTTCAATTCTAATCAAAATTAAACAAAGAAAGTCTAAGACGTCAAAACAATTCCAAACCACAAGTCATGGCTTTCCAAGTGCATTTCGGCCAAATCACTTAAACAATTCCACCAAAAATTTAACTCTTGTAAAGATTACTCAAATGGCCAAGAGCTTCATCAATCATTAGCTCTTGGCATCAAACAATCATTTCTTACTTTATTATTTAAACTATCAAAATCAAATTTGACCTTAATATATAAATTTAACATTCTTAATATTCATTTTTCCCTTTTATTTTCAAAACTTATTAACTTTATCATTTTCAAACCATGAAACATACCTATCTTCAAGTTTAACTTGTATACTCATTCAGTCCAATATACTTTCTCAATCCAATATTAATTATGGCTTATAGAAACTCCACTCCCTTTTTCAACTAAACTTTAAGTTATTTATAAATTAACTTAATCCACAACCTTCACCTCTCACAATTTATAGTCTTTGAATTACTAAGAAAGCCAATTTTAAGCGATTAGAAGTCACTTCATGAATGCGGCTATAACAATTTACTTAAGAGTTTCTAAAATATCAAATAAGTTTTAACTCATTGCCATATGACCTATCTACCTAAATTCAGCAACAAAACTTCAAGTTTTCATCCAATAACTTCATTTTCCAATTGATTAAACTATAGAGTATCAACGAATATTATATGTGGAAGTTCACAGAATTGAAATTTGAAAGAAAAACTAGTCCTACGTTCATTCTCTTCCTCTCAGCTATCTCTCTCTCTCTCTAACAGATTGCATCAGCTTTCTTCATTTAATTCCACATGCCAAAGTTGATTATCAAACTACAGAGTACCATCAGCAGGAGCACAAGATTACAGCCAAGGAAATCATAAGCAACACTGGTTCAACTCCTAATCTCCCTCTCTCGGCATAACTTCAGAATTTTTAGCAGCAATCAACTTAACCCAATTTTTCTCCAACAAACTCTTCAGTTCATGTTCAAATCTTTCATGCATGTTCAAACCAAGCTAATATATAATATATATTATAGTTTAACATAGGAATTCAAGACCAAAAATCATGAAGACAGTTAAGAATCTGTCATTCTCTTTCTCGGGTAAGCTGGAAAATTTTGCAGTAGAAAACTTCCCTTGGTTTCCATCCAAAATCCAACTTTTCCCTATATTTTCTTCAACTAAACCTCCCAAACATCAAAGACCCACGTATCACATAAAAAATCTACCATTAATTTCCTTTTTTTTATAATAACAACAGGCTGCAGCTCAGCCTGCAAGCTCTCGGTTTCCAACTTCAGTCCAGCTTCTATTTTTCTTCATTAACAGATTTTTTTCTTCGGTTAAAACTCGTTATTCCCTCTCTAAGACTAACATGCATTCAATCTACTCTCTGATATCTAGTAAATAAAAGGTGATTACAGAATTTCTCTACCTGTTTTCCTTTAAAGCTCAGCAAAAGCAGACTGTTTCTACGCTTAGCTTCCGGTTCCTCAAACTGCAACTACTTCCTTCCTTCCTCTCGGTGATAACTGGTCAGGGATGCACTAGCAACGTTTCCTCCTTCAATCACCCCCTTAGCACTCGGTTTAGAGTAGTGGAAGGAGAAAGAAATGGTGAAGCTCTCAGTTTCTCTCTCTCGGTTGCTGTTGTCCAGAGTAGAAATGTAAAGCTCTCTCACGTTGTAACTTCCTATTATTCTCCCTCGGTCGATAACTCCTATGCTGGTCACTCACTTCCTCTCATTTGGTGGGGAACAAACTCTGAGTTCTCCTCTCAATTTTGTTGCTAGTCAGACACTCCACAGCTTTGCTTCACTCGGTTCTCTTTTCCTTTGCTCAGACTACTAGCTGGCTGCATGGTAATTTTGAGATGGAGGAAGGCTAATTTGGTCTTTTAACATCTTGTCCGACCTTCCACTTAAGTCCTCATTCGTAAACTACTTCCAAAATTTTACCCCAAATGAAATTTGATAGCCTATTGGTATACTAATCTCGCAAAAATTCAATTATCGAGATTTTAACGTCCTAAATACAGTTATAAGGGTTTTGACCTAAAACAATTTCGTCTTAATTCTAGGTTCCCGTTGATACTTAACAATTATAAACACTTAAAATTAGCTATCGAAATTCAAATAATTAATATTAAAACAATAAAATACTCTACCTCAAGAAATATTAAGTTAACTTCGCAAAAATCAAATAATTCAATATTCTGCACAATTAAACTATTTGTAACCTAAAAATTATTTTTACCTACTTATTTAAGATCAACTAATAATAACATTTATTAAAAGTCTAAAATGCAAATGCAACAAGTATATATATATATTTATATATATATATATATTTTCAAGGTTCTCACATCCTTCCCCCCTTAAATGAATTTTGTCCTCAAAATTCTCACCTTCTAATGAAATAATTCGGGGTATTTCCTCTACATATCTTCTTCCAGTTCCCAAGTTGCTTCCTCTATTTCATGATTTTTCCATAGAATCTTTACCAAAGGAATTTTCTTACCTCTCAATTCTTTCACTTCTCTATCCAAAATCTTAACTGGTTCTTCCTCATAAGTTAATGACTCATCCACCTCAATTCCTTCCAATTGCAACACATGGCTTGGGTCAGGGTGATATTTCTTGAACATAGAAACATGAAATACATTGTGAATCTTGGCCATACTCGAAGGCAACCTCAACTGATACGCCACTTTACCGATTCGTTTCAGAATTTCAAAAGGTCCAATGTACCTTGGCTTTAGCTTCTTACCCTGTTTGGATAATACTCCGCCCTTCAAGGGTTTAACTCTTAGGAAAACCTTGTCTTCTATTTCGAATTCCAAATCTTTTCTCCTTGTGTCGGCGTTGCTCTTTTGTCGACTCTGGGCAGTTCGAAGCCTTTCCCTAATTAGTTTCACTTTCTCATGAGCTTCTTCCATCCAAGGTATAACCGTTGGATCTAAAATTTTCTTCTCTCCTACTTCTTCCCAATGAATCGGAGATCGACACCTTCTCCCATACAATGCCTCATAAGGTGCCATTTGAATTGAAGTATGATAGCTGTTATTATAGGCAAATTCTACTAAGGTCATATACTGGCTCCATTTACCTCCAAAATCCAACATACACGACCTCAGCATATTCTCCAAAGTCTGAATTGTCCTTTCTGACTGTCCGTCCGTTTGGGGATGATAAGCAGTACTAAACTTCAACTTGGTCCCCAATGTCTCTTGAAATTTCTGCCAGAAACGTGAAACAAACCTTGGATCTCTATCAGACACAATACTTATAGGAATACCATGCAATCTCATGATCTCTTCTGTGTACAACTTGGCCAGTTTTTCCAAAGAAAAGCTCATACTCACCAGTAGAAAATGTGCGGACTTGGTAAGCCTATCAACTATCACCCAAACCGCATCAAATCCTTTTTGACTTCGAGGCAATCCCGTTACAAAATCCATGGTTATGTGTTCCCATTTTCATTCGGGAATTTCTAGTGGTTGCAATAGACCAGAGGGTTTCTGATGTTCAGCTTTTACTTGTTGGTATATCAGACATTTTTGTACAAATTCTGCCACGTCCTTTTTCAAACCGTCCCACCAATATAACTCTTTCACATCGTGATACATTTTGCTCACTCCTGGGTGTATAGTATACCTTGATCGATGTGATTCTTCTAGAATTTCTTTCCTTAACCCTTCATCAACTGGAACCACAATTCGATCTCGAAACCTTAACACTCCCTCAGACCCTAATTTAAAGTCTAGGGTTTCTCCGTTTTGCACTTTCTCCAACTTTTTCTGGATTATAGGGTCCGTTTTCTGTGCCTCCTTAATACGCTCCAATAATGGTGATTTCAACGACAGGTTCCCAAATGAAATCTTCAATCTCTCCAAGCGAGGGTTCCAAATACTAACTTCTTCTAACATGTCTCATTCTTTTACCATTAACCCCGCTACTTGGGCCTTTCTACTTAGAGCGTCTGCTACCACGTTGGCTTTTCCTGGGTGGTAGTTGATAGAACAATCATAATCCTCTAAAAATTCTACCCATCGCCTCTGTCTCAAATTCAATTCCTTTTGGGAGAACAAGTACTTAAGGCTCTTGTGGTCCGTAAAAACTTCAAAGGTCACACCATACAAGTAATGCCTCCATTTCTTTAAGGCAAAGACCACTGCGGCCAGTTCTAGGTCATGCGTTGGGTAATTTTGTTCGTGAGGCTTCAATTTTGTAGAGGCATAGGCAACTACCTTACCCTTTTGCATTAGTACACATCCTAGACCTTCCCTAGAGGCATCAGAGTTTACGACATAACTTTCTACTCCGTCAGGCAATGCCAACACAGGAGCTGATGTTAAACGCTTCTTTAATTCCTGAAAGCTCGATTCGCACTTCGAAATCCAAATAAACTTATTATTTTTCTTTGTCAGCTCTGTCATAGGTCCAGCAATCTTCGAAAAGTCTTTGATGAATCGCCTGTAATAACCTGCTAGACCCAAGAAACTTCTGACCTCAGTTGGAGTTTCTGGCTGTTTCCACATTGTGACTGCCTCAACTTTTGTCGGGTCCACAACAATTCCATCTTTAGAAACTTTGTGTCCCAGAAAAGAAATTTCTTCCAGCCAAAACTCGTACTTGCTAAATTTAGCATATAATTTATGCTCTCTTAAGATTTACAGAACTATCTCAAAGTGTTTAGCATGTTCCTCTCGAGTCTTAGAATATACTAGGATATCATCAATAAAGACTACTACGAACTGATCCAAGTACTTTTTAAAGACTCTCTGCATTAAGTCCATGAAGGCAGTTGGTGCATTGGTTAATCTAAATGGCATGACTGCAAATTCAAAATGTCCATATCTTGGGTTAAAAGCAGTCTTAGGTATGTCTTCCTTCTTAATTTTCAACAGATAATACCCTTGCCTCAAATCCAACTTGGAGAAAACTACTGCTCCTTGCAGCTGGTCGAATAGGCTGTCAATTAGTGGTAGAGGGTATTTATTTTTAATTGTACCTTCATTTAATCCTCGATAATCAATACATAACCTCAAACTTCCATCCTTTTTCTTAACAAATAGAACAGGTGCTCCCCATGGCGAATCACTTTCTCTAACAAAACCTCTCTCCAATAAATCCTGTAATTGAATTTTCAATTCTTTTAGCTCTGCAGGAGCCATTTGGTACGGAGTCTTAGAAATTGGGGCCATTCCCGGCATTAGTTCAATCTTGAACTCCACTTCTCTCTCTGGAGGTAATATTTTTAATTCTTCGGGAAACACATCTGGAAATTCCCTTACCACTGGTACATCTTCCAATTTTACTTGATCACTGGGTGCGTTAATCAGGAAAGCTAAGAAACCTTGCGCTCCTTTATACAACATTTTCCTTGGCCGAATTCCCGAAATCATAGCAGATGATGCTAACCTGCCTTTTACATCCAATTTCAGGGTTGCTTCCCCGGGAATCCAAAATTCTACCACTTTCGCTCTGCAATCAAGCTTAGCATCGTGATGAGTTAGGAAATCCATTCCTATAATAACATCATAACCTTTTATGTCCAAACTGACTAGATCTACTAGCATCTTACGCTCTCCAACCCAGAATTCGCAGTTCTTATAGGCCAGGCTAGTGATTATGCTTTTATTACCCATGGGTGTCCTAACTTCAAGATCAAAGGGTAATCTAACAGCTTTTACATCAATTCCGTACATAAAAGTTGGATTCACAAATGAATGAGTTGCGCCAGGATCAATTAGTACTCTAACTAATCGGTGAAAGATTGGAAGAGTACCTTCCACGACTTCCGAGGATTCAGGTACGGGTTGGTCGTCAATGGCGTACACCCTGGTAGGAACTTTCGGCCTACTTCCTCCAGAAGTGGATTGTCTAGCACTCGGGGTACCACCTTCTTGGTTTTTTGGACAACCGGCAAACTGGTGCTCGCTGCTTCCGCACCTCAAGCACTTTCCTTCTTTCCTCCAGCATCCGTCCTCAGTATGGCCGGCCTTCCTGCAAAACCCACAAGTTACTTGAGGGGTTGTCACACGACCTCCTTGCGGGGCGTTCCTATTTTGACTCCTTCCACTTGGTCCTCCTCTAGCTCCGATATCTCTTCCCCTGGCACCTCTTGCCCCAGCTCCTCTCGCTAGAGCACCTTGTGGTGCTCCAGGACTATTTACTCCACCCGTTCCTCGACCCATTTTGACCGGTGGAGCATTTGCATAAGTCGACTCCCGACTGCTGCTAGGGCCAAATCTTTTCTTAGCCTGGAAAGATTTTACTTGAGCTCTGGCAATTTCAACCCTCTGAGCCCTCTCTACAACATCAGCAAATATGTCCATCCGAACTGCAGCTAATCCCTCTTGGATCTCCTCGTTTAGTCCCTGCACAAACCTCCTTATACGCCTCTGCTCCGTGGCTACCAATTCAGGAGCATAACGAGACAATTTCGTGAATTGAATCTCATATTCGGCAACACTCACCGCCCCCTGCCTACACTTGATGAAGTCATCCTCTCTTTTCTCTTGGATAAGAGGGGGAAGAAACTTGGCATTGAACTCCCTCGTGAAGTTCGCCCAAGTCCTGGGAATATGATTCCTGTCCCAATTAACCCTAACTAGGTTCCACCAGGAACGAGCAGTTCCCTCAAACTGAAATGTGGCGAAAGTCACTTGTCTCTCTTCCGCATAATTTAGAGCTGCAAAGATGTCAGGGATCCTCTCCCAACAACCTTCTGCTACCTCAGGTTCAGGTCCTCCATTAAACTTGGGAGGTCCAAACTTCAAGAATCTCTCCAATGCCCGATCCTCAGTATCGATTGGGCCTCCTTGGTGATGCGCCGGTCTAAGGGCTTGGTGCTCAGTCATGCGCTCTAAGACATCAGTTATTCTATTGATCGCGGTGGCCACTGGGTCTCCGGCCACGCCCTCCTGACCATGGTCTTGATTGACCTCAGGTCCCCTATCACCACCAACCTCGGGGTGTTGTCTAGTGGATCTCCCACATTCTCTACCTCTAGCTTGACGATCCATAACCTAATTATGACTATTGATATAAATAAATTAATTAAGAGAAGATATTGTTATTTATTTACTTATTACTATTATTATTGTTATATATATATATATATTTTGTAAGTAAAATCAACATGAACATTAAGGAAAAGGAAAATAAAACACTTAACACATATATTCACACACCAAGGTTCATACAAATAACAGGTTAGGGTGCCTTCCAAAAGTATGGCACACAAGTTTAACAAATATATACAAACAATCCCTTAAACCAAAAATAGGGATGTAGTGCCTCAAAAGTAGGCCATCCAACTAGACAAAATGCTATCACCTAAACTAGTGTCACCCTATCTAACCCTGGATACTTAGTTACAAGCAGATCAAACCTAGTCTAATCCTCAGTAGGGCTGCCAGGAGCAACGTCCTCCTCAGGGTCCTCCTCAACACCCGCCTAAGCAGTACCCTGAATAATACCCATGACCTCGTCTATCATCATAGTGGCATCAGCCCTAATACCCGCACTCCTATCTCATACCTCCTCAGCTACTCGAGTCAATCGAGACCTCTGTCTCCCTAACTCCTCACGAGCAGCCTCTGACCTAGCCGTCTCGGCTACTAACCTCTGCTCGAGCTCAGCTATGCGGTCAAGCTGAGTATCAACCATGATGCTCAACTCCTCGACGTCCTGGGTCAAAGTATGATTAGCGTCCCTCAACTGGCGACGCTCGTCGTCTAAGGACAGCACTAACTCATTATGGTAGGCATATGTGACCCTACACTGGCATCGGGGGTGCCTATCAGCTGGTGTATAACGTATACGAGGTCCTCCGTTTCGTGGCCTATAAGAGATGGACCTAAGAGGCTCTACATGTCCATTAGCCAATCCGTTACCATTAGCATGTCTGTTTCCATTTTCCATACCTGCAAAATTAACCAAAATCCAAGAGTTAATACTTAAATAGCTAACTTGCTCAAGTACTACTTAGGATATGTCTGATCAACTCACTTCTTAACTTTTAAAAGGTTCAGGGTTTCTAATATATCTATTATATCTTTCAAATAATTTTCCTAACCTAGGCTCTGATACCACCTGTGGCGGCCCCACTTCTCCCTAAGGCGAACCAGAGGGTTGGCGGGTCGCCTGCCTAACTCTTGCTAGCACTCACGCAAGGAAACCGACTAAACCCCTCCGACGAATAACTTAAACAAAAACAAAGTTCGTCACCCGAACAAGCCAAACCTTTAAACGACCAGAATACTATGGACACATTAACTTCAGAGATAACATTGCCATTGGACGTCTGAACGTTCACTCTTAAGTACACCTCCAACCAGTTTAACACACAACTATATTTATACATTTCAAACCATAAAGTGAAATCATAAAATTCAAATACATTCATACAAATCAAAACAAAACTTAGGGTTTGCACTTTTCCAGCTTCAAGTGGCAACCCAAGACAAAAGATACATAGTCCGATTCGAAACAACATTCACAAAAACTAAAGGCAGACTTCAAGTCTCTCGAATGTCAAAACCTGTTCAGGAAAACAAATAACGTGGGGTGAGCTAAAGCTCAGTGGTGCCCCAAACATGCAATCATATAAAACAAATAGCAAATAAAAACCCCAAGCTTAAATTCAACAAATAGGAAAGCGTTTAACAGCACAGAGTAGGATACAGGGCTCTCAGGAGCCATTTTTCCACGAACTTGATCAAAATTAATCGCAGTTGACCCTCCGTCAACTCTCACTATCTAAAGTCCATGTAGATTCTTTTTTTTTTTCTTAACACGCTCCAACCAACTTACTCCCACCGGGCCCGTCCTTCACACGAGAGAGTTTGGTATTACTCGAGTATACCTTTTATAGCCTAGTCGAGGGATTCACCCAACGACGTCACACAAGTGGTTACCAAGTCAGGATAAGAGGCCCTCCCACCCTGAGGTGTGGTACATTCCCCTGCCTGGTGGATTAGTTGACGAGTCCACGCTCCAGTCAACAATTGCCAGGTTTTGGTACTTGAGTTAGGATAAGAGGCCCTCCCACCCTCAGGTGTGGTACATTCCCCCACTCAGTACTTAACTAGTGCAAGTAAGATATTCGAGAAAACATTTCAAGCGATTCACCACTCGAAAGGCTAGTGCGATAAAGTACACACTGCCCTTTTCGATGGATCAGAGAAAAAAAAATAAACCACATTCCAATTATCACATAACAGTCAAGAAAGCACTTTAACAAGATAAAACATAGAACAAGCAAGGACACTCACCAAAAGTGAAGCTCAAAAGTCAAGCTGGGAATCGAAGTCCACGTCCTCGCTAAACCCTAAAGGCCAAGTTTTAAATCTATAAGTTTTACTATACAAGTTCTTGATTTATATATAAAATATTATCTGATATATAACTAGTTTATTTCTTCGAAATAAATCAACAATTCTCTTAAAATTAAAACTAGTAAAAGTGATAAAATATTTCGTATGGTTTCTTTAAAGATACATTTCTTTCTAGAGGTGCAACTAGAACTAATCTATTTCAAATAAGTTTTCTTGCCGAACAAGTTTTCTAAACCTTTTCATTTAAAGTTATTGAAATCTCGTGTTTTTGACAGTTTTCCTCTTAAACAACTAGTCAGGGACAATTTTATGAAAAATTTAGAGTTTGAAAGTTAGTGGAATTAATTCCTAAAAGTAATAAAGCTAGTTTAAGCGAAGGAAATAATTAACTAGTTAGCAAGGTTTTAAAAAGTCTCGACACCTGAATTTTAGCATTATCGTACTATACTCAATTTCTATAGCTTGATACTAGGACAAAATATTTCAACAAAGCTTGGTTTAAAAGTACCCGAATTCAAAGAACCAAAACGGACTTCACGATTCCTATTCATTTGCACATTATATTCCAATTTGCCAATATAGCAAAAATCACGATTCCAACATCAATTTCACTAGGGCTTCGTCAATCATTAGCCCTAGGTCGCAGCAAGTTCAATTCTAATCAAAATTAAACAAAGAAAGTCTAAGACGTCAAAACAATTCCAAACCACAAGTCATGGCTTTCAAAGTGCATTTCGGCCAAATCACTTAAACAATTCCACCAAAAATTTAACTCTTGTAAAGATTACTCAAATGGCCAAGAGCTTCATCAATCATTAGCTCTTGGCATCAAACAATCATTTCTTACTTTATTATTTAAACTATCAAAATCAAATTTGACCTTAATATATAAATTTAACATTCTTAATATTCATTTTTCCCTTTTATTTTCAAAACTTATTAACTCTATCATTTTCAAACCATGAAACATACCTATCTTCAAGTTTAACTTGTATACTCATTCAGTCCAATATACTTTCTCAATCCACTATTAATTATGGCTTATAGAAACTCCACTCCCTTTTTCAACTAAACTTTAAGTTATTTATAAATTAACTTAATCCACAACCTTCACCTCTCACAATTTATAGTCTTTGAATTACTAAGAAAGCCAATTTTAAGCGATTAGAAGTCACTTCATGAATGCGGCTATAACAATTTACTTAAGAGTTTCTAAAATATCAAATAAGTTTTAACTCATTGCCATATGACCTATCTACCTAAATTCAGCAACAAAACTTCAAGTTTTCATCCAATAACTTCATTTTCCAATTGATTAAACTACAGAGTATCAACGAATATTATATGTGGAAGTTCACAGAATTGAAATTTGAAAGAAAAGCTAGTCCTACGTTCATTCTCTTCCTCTCGGCTATCTCTCTCTCTCTCTAACAGATTGCATCAGCTTTCTTCATTTAATTCCACATGCCAAAGTTGATTATCAAACTACAGAGTACCATCAGCAGGAGCACAAGATTACAGCCAAGGAAATCAGAAGCAACACTGGTTCAACTCCTAATCTCCCTCTCTCGGCATAACTTCAGAATTTTTAGCAGCAATCAACTTAACCCAATTTTTCTCCAACAAACTCTTCAGTTCATGTTCAAATCTTTCATGCATGTTCAAACCAAGCTAATATATAATATATATTATAGTTTAACATAGGAATTCAAGACCAAAAATCATGAAGACAGTTAAGAATCTGTCATTCTCTTTCTCGGGTAAGCTGGAAAATTTTGCAGTAGAAAACTTCCCGTGGTTTCCATCCAAAATCCAACTTTTCCCTATATTTTCTTCAACTAAACCTCCCAAACATCAAAGACCCACGTATCACATGCAAAATCTACCATTAATTTCCTTTTTTTTTTTTTAATAACAACAGGCTGCAGCTCAGCCTGCAAGCTCTCGGTTTCCAACTTCAGTCCAGCTTCTATTTTTCTTCATTAACAGATTTTTTTCTTCGGTTAAAACTCGTTATTCCCTCTCTAAGACTAACATGCATTCAATCTACTCTCTGATATCTAGTAAATAAAAGGTGATTACAGAATTTCTCTACCTGTTTTCCTTTAAAGCTCAGCAAAAGCAGACTGTTTCTACGCTTAGCTTCCGGTTCCTCAAACTGCAACTACTTCCTTCCTTCCTCTCGGTGATAACTGGTCAGGGATGCACTAGCAACGTTTCCTCCTTCAATCACCCCCTTAGCACTCGGTTTAGAGTAGTGGAAGGAGAAAGAAATGGTGAAGCTCTCAGTTTCTCTCTCTCGGTTGCTGCTGTCCAGAGTAGAAATGTAAAGCTCTGTCACGTTGTAACTTCCTATTATTCTCCCTCGGTCGATAACTCCTATGCTGGCCACTCACTTCCTCTCATTTGGTGGGGAACAAACTCTGAGTTCTCCTCTCAATTTTGTTGCTAGTCAGACACTCCACAGCTTTGCTTCACTCGGTTCTCTTTTCCTTTGCTCAGACTACTAGCTGGCTGCATGGTAATTTTGAGATGGAGGAAGGCTAATTTGGTCTTTTAACATCTTGTCCGACCTTCCACTTAAGTCCTCATTCGTAAACTACTTCCAAAATTTTACCCCAAATGAAATTTGATAGCCTATTGGTATACTAATCTCGTAAAAATTCAATTATCGAGATTTTAAC